AAAGGTTTTTGCCGTGTTAGCCGACCTTTTTTTTTTTTTTAAAATAATAATAATAACGCCGCCATTTTGATTATTTTAATTTCGATTTGTATATTTAAAAAAAAAATGTTTTTTTCCTCGCATAATATAATAAGATTTTGTAAAATTTAAATTATTATTATTATTATTATTTTCACCTTCTTATTTCCATTTTATAATTTAAAATCTTTTATTATTCCTGTTATGTTGGCACGCCTGCTTGCCTGCCTGCTTGCCTGATTTTGACGCACATTGTTTTTGTTTATAAATAATATTCGTCACTTTTTTTAAATTAATTAATTTTATTCTTTTCTCTTTCTCTTATGCTACAAATATTTCACCTGCGTTTCCCTCTCCCCCCACCTTATTCCCCCTCCCGCAAATAAATAATAATGATAATGATGATATTTTCGGTCGTTTTAATTTTAAAAAAAAAACTTTTAGAATATCCCGCGTCCATCCCCATCTTTTACTAAAATTCCAACTTGTTGTAAATGAAATTTAATGTTGATTAATTAAAAACTTATACTCGGGTAAAACCATAAATTTTATTTTTAATATTAATAATAATAATAATGATAATAATGATAATAAAGGTAAAAACTTTTCCACAACTTTATATTGTAAAATCATTTATTTATTTATTTTTTATGTTTAAATAATTTTTTTTTTTTTGGTGTGTGTTGGTAAATATTTTCTTTCCTTTTTCCGAATCCGGACGCGAATGAAAAACACGTGGAGGGGGGGAAGGGGAAAACTTTGACCGAAAACAAAAAAATAATAATAATAATAAAATTTAGAAGATAATTAAAGAAATTCGATACGTTGAAATTTTACAAAATTCATTATTATAATAATAATAATAATATAAAAATTCGGTTTTAAGGTATTATTAACCGAAAAAAAAGAAAAAAAAATTTCAAAGGTTTTCTCCCGCCATTTTTTTCCCGTTTTTTTTTATAAATAAAAATCCGGTTTTAATTTCCTTCCGGTAATATTTTATTTTTATTAAAAATTATAAAAAAATTTTCCTTTTTTTTTTTTTTATTTCCTTCCTCATATTTAAAAGACGATTTAAATTTTTCCGTTAAAGTTAAGAAAAAAAAAAATTTAATGCGGTTAATTTAAAAAAACACGAAAAAAAATAAAAACTTTTCCTTTTTTTTTTCCTTTTTTCCTTTTTTTTTTTTTTTAATACCCCGTTTTTAATTCTGTTGTATCCTTTTTTTTGTGTTTTGTTCCTTTTTCTTGTTTTTATTACTTTTTTACAAATTTGTTTTAATTATTTTTTTTCCTTTTTTCCTTTGTTAATCGATTATTTTTTAAATTAATTAAAATAGTTTTTCCCCCCATCCGACCGTTCATTCGTTCGTTATCATCATCATCATCGTACTCGTCGACTATGAACATATCATTATTATTATTATATTTTCCTTTGTGTTTACCTTTGTTAAACTTTATATTAATTTTCGCGTCGTAAATATTATTAAACTAGAATAAATTTAAATTTTAAAACCGGATTTTATTTACGACCGATAATGACCGTAAACGTCATCCTCCATCTTTTTTTTCTTTTTCAAAATATTGTTATTATTATTATTATTATTATTATTATTATTATTATTATTATTATTATTATTATTATTTCGAATATATTTTTACATAGTGTTAATTAAATAATTAATTAATATTTTATTTATCATTTAACGAAATGAAATTTTAATAATTTAAAATCTCGTTCGATTTTATCTCGCGAAAAAAAAAAAAAGTTGGGGGGGGAAAACTTTATTGGTTTCCCCTACCCCCCCCCCCCGTTTATAAAATATCTCGAAGGGAAATTCGCGATTACGTGATAAATTTTTTAAATTATTATTATTATTATTATTATTATTTATAAAATGGTATTTTTCAAGAAAGTAAAAAAAAAAAAAAATTTAATTAAAATAATTATTAAGAAAAGAATTTTTTAAAAATTCTCTCTCTCTCTCTCTTTCCTTCCCTTCCTTCCCCGACTCCCTCCATTTTTTTTTTAAATCGTGAAAAATGAAATAAAAAAATAAACTTTTGGAAAAATATCAATAACAAGAAAAACAACAACAGCAACAGCAAAAAAAAAAAATTGACCAAATGTTGAAAATTAAATGGTTTTCCCTTCGAAAAATAATATATATTTCAAAAAAAAAAAGGGTAAATACGTGACCGGAAATTCGGTCAATTTAACAAAGTTTATTTATTAAAAAACCTGAATTTCAAATTTATTATTATATATATTCCCGCCCCCGCCTCGCCCCCCCAAAAAAAACAGATTTCATATTGAGACTTTTGTTCATTTCCAGACAGGAAATAAAATGGATAATAAATCGGATATTCATTCCCTATTCAATTTTTATTATTATTATTATTATTATTTTAACGTGATAAACAAAATTTTCATGTTCGAAAATAAATTTTCTATGTTTGTTGTTTGTCTCTTTTTGTTATTTGTTTGTTTGTTTGTTTGTTAAAAACAAAAAAAATTTAATTAATTTAATAGGAAACGAAACTAAAAAAAAAAACACAAAAACAGGAAAGTAAAAAGGAAGTAAGAAGAAAAAAAAATAAGAAAAAATTCTTTTCTTTTTTTTTTCTTTCCTTTTTTTTTCCTTCCTTTTTTTCTCTCTCTCTTTTTTTCTCTCTCTCTCTCTTTCCTTTGTAAATTAAAAATGTAACAAATCTATTAAAATAAAATTAAGACGAAAAAAAAAGAAAAAA